AAGATTCCCTTATATTATAATTTAAAGATTTTAGTAAAATACTTAAAAATCTAGATCTAAATTAATATAAAAAGGAACCCTATCTTTTCACAAATTCAAATTAGATTATTTTGATATTATTCTTTGTAAACAATATATAAATTATATATTACTATAAGAATATATTAATAGCTAATAATATTATCTTTAATATCAAAACTGCCTATAAATTAAAAGATTTAGATAATATAGAATAATTTTTGAGTATCTAGATTATTTGTAATTAAAAAATAAAAAAACTCTAATTAGCATATAATATTTATATTAAGAAGATTATAAAAAAGTTTAATTTTAATAATAATAATGTATATACACCTTTATCAATAATAAAATTCATAAAATACAATGGAATCGCAACTATCATATTTATATAAATTTATTAAGAGAAGATAGAATTAATACTATATACTATAATCACAATTAAAGCAGATATTATATTTATAGTTTTGTAATTTAGTTACTTTCTAACTAACCCATTTTTGGATTATATAAAAGTAATTGATTATTATATATAGTATTTCTAGAATATAAAATACTACTCAATTAAATATAATCAAAAATAGATTCCATAGCTTTTATTCTTTTTAGATATTTCATTTACTAATAATAAGAAATTACAAAGATTATTTTAAGGTTTTATAATCTTATTATTTAATAAATCAATAATATAAAAAGCTTTAAAATAAGATATAATTATTATATCTATTATCAAAACTAAATTACTTAATATTGAATATATGTTAAAAGAAATATTAGTTATATTATAATTCCTTAAAGAAATCAATTTTATAATTAAATAATTAGTTATGATTTTTTGTGATAACTAGTAAATAATTAGATTAATAATAAAAGAAAATAAAAGGATTATTATTAAACTAAAACATATCAATATATAGAATATATGACTATATTAGAAATATTCAAAGAAAAATTTCCATTTTACATATTTGCTTATAGTAGAAATAATAATAAATAGATTAATTAAAAACTTATTATAATAAAAATTTAATTACTTTATATTCCTTTTAAATCTATAAAATATAAGCATTAGAATTAATAAAATCAAATAGAAACTTTTCCTTTTAATATATATTTCCTTTTAGTATATTTAAAATTGAAATTTATTAAATTAATCTATTTTCTTTTATTAATTAACTTATTATTAAAATTAATTATATTATTTTTATTAATAGTATTATATTCATCATTAAAATTATTATTATTATTAATATCAAATATTATCTTATTTTTACTTTTTGAAGTAGAACGAGCGGATTGTAATTAAGTCTTTAAACTTATTATAAAAATATATACTTCGACTTTTATATATTTAATTGTAGAGAATTTGAGGATGGGAAAAGAATCTTTATTTTTTAATTAAAAAGAAAGGTAATAATTTTGATGAGAGGGGTGGATGGATGGATAATCGCAATGATTGAATAGGGGGAGAAGATATAACTTGTGTTGGTAATAAGAAAGAATTAAGATTAATAAACTTACTATTTTTTTTAATTATTATTAATATAATTATTATTACAATACAAACCGATTTCTAATTTAAAATAATTCTTTAAAAAATACATTAATAGATTATAATAATATAAAAAGATTAAAATATATTTTTTTAAAAAGTACTATAAATTCAGAATTACAAAATTTTAATAATCAAATAGCTAAAGATTTTAAATATATCAGAAAAGATATATAAATATATATAATATACTTTTAGCATTAAAGAAAAAAAGCATTTCTTTATTTGAAATATTTATTATACTTTTTATAATAATTAAAAAAAAAAAAAAATATTTTGTATAGGGAATAGAGTTTTATATATTTTTATTTCTAAGATTATATTTAAAATCTTTTCATTTATATTTATTATAAGCTTTATAAATAGATATCCGGGATTTATTTAATCTAGATATGAAAATGGATTTATTTGAGAAGAAAAAGATTTTCAATAAGGAATTCTTATTATTAAAAGGAAGATTAAAAAAATGATTTTTATTCATATTATCGATAAAAAAATTATCATATTCTGCAGGAATAATTATTATATAATATTTATTTATTTCAATCCAGCAATCATAAATAGCTTCAACTTTTTTCAAAAAGTTATTATCAGAATTTTGTTAAAATTCATTAAAAAAAGGCTTTATTTGTAAAGTCTTTCTATTAAAAAACAATTAAATCTTAGTAGGAGGTAATAACTAAGTAAAAATATATTAAATACTAAATCTATCAAATCGAATATTACTTTTTGATATATTATATAGGAAGGTAATTGTATATTAATCAGAAATATTAATAAAATCAAGGGATTTTCTAATAAAAAAAGGTATATTTAAAGAATGTATTGAATTATTAAATATAAAGATTAAGAAAAGGGAATTATCTCCCTTTTATAATCATTTTGATTTATTATATCTTCTAAAATCTATTGATTTCTATTTAATTCTATTACTGTTATAAAAGTATTGTATATACAAATCGATCAAATAAATTGATACAAATATTTAGCTAATAATAATTAATATAATTCAGATCTTCTAATATATATTAATCCAAAAGATTAATTCCTTCATTTCAATATCATTACTTTCTCACAGATTGTCCAGATTAATAATACAATTTACTCTTTTCTTTTGTAGAAAACTTTATATATTTATATATCTTATATTTTTTTATTTAATAAATAAGTTTATCTAGTAAATAAATTTACAGCAACCATCCAAATAAAACACTCACCGATATTTACATTATTTATTTTCTAAGAATTTTTTGTTTATTTATTATATAGATTACTTAATATAACCATCAAAACACCTAGCGATCTGAAAGGTATATTACAGAATTTACTATATAATATAATCTTATAAATACTAATCCCAATATTCCTTTAAAATACTCACTTCCATAATTATTAATACTATTTTATTTATTTTATTTGTATACTCTATATACCTAATTAAATAAGTACCTCACCCGATCAAAATATATAAAGCAGATATAATCATTAAAATTATACCTCAAATCAATCTAGTTTATTATTACTCTACATACCTATTCCTAGATCAAAGTGACCATTAGATATAGCTATTACCTCCGTAATAATAAATAATTAGAAAAAGTAAAAAAAATATCGGATTTCAATAAGTCCGGCTAGAGAGATCGATAATATGCTAAACTAAATATAGTTAAGTAGGATCTCAGTTTATCGAGTTTTTACAGTATGATCTTTGCGCTTCTCCCGCTCCCTGAATGTTGTCAATGATTGGATAGCTGAGAGTCGTTGGTCAGCCCTATGATGTTAAGTGACTTAGGTTGCATCTACGTCAGGAACAAAAGTGGTTCCTCAAAAACATCTGATGCTACACTCGTATGGAAATTTTCAATAAGGTGGTCTTCAACATCATGTTTTCGTTTGTGATTCCAAATTCGATACGCATCTTTCGTTCTATTTCACTCCATTGATATGAAATTCCAGCTCACACTTACAATTTCAGTCTTCTCCATCTCAAAAAGCTTGAGATTATCGGTCAATTGCCTACTCACTAAGGTTACAGTATCCCTCATTACAGGCTGATGCTACACTTACGCACGGTAGCCTTAACACTTCAATTCCTAAATGGTGAAAATGACGGTGGGTATGTGCGTCGATTTGGTTTAGCTCGTCACCCATATATAGATTAGTTTGAGGCTACTGTTAAGTCCGAAATCCTATAAGAACTCGAATCAAGCTTTTGGTTTTATGCAACTACCTAGCTAGTGGTGCCTCGACGAGTCTCGCCCACCATGCATTCTATACATTCTTGCATTAAATCCTCTTCGAGACTGTTGCAAACTTATGAAAAGGTAGAAGTGCTTCGAAGACACATACTTCCACTGGCGTTTTCAAGAATGCAAAACCATGCATCATTGCTGGAATGATCGACTACTTCTAGTCAAATATTAATACATTCTCCCAGCACCCATTCTGGAACTTGCACTAAAACTTCAAACTTAGGTCGAATTACACATACAGTCTGCAGAGACTTTCAATGCTATTGTATAGAACTGTTATATGGTGTTTGTAAAGGATATTTGCTCTTCTCCGAGCATTCGCAGTCATCCAGGAACTATTTGAAATGTGAAAAATAATGATCAAAGAGTCATTTTGGAGATTCAGCTGAAACTCACTCCCGTATTTCAACGTATACGAAGTCAAGTTAAATTTTAGCTGATGGCTAAAATTTCTTTTGCCAAATGATTACAATCAAACCATAATTACATTGATTTGATGCGCAATTGTTTGTTCTTGGTGGATGAATGCGATGCTTCTCAAAGTCAAAGAGACAACCCATTTCTTCCCGAAGGCTCTGGGCTATTTTTGACCTCTGGTCACACCTCTGGTCACACCTCTGGTCAACAATTCAAGTATTCAGAATCGAAACCATTCAGATATGCGTCAAAATATTTCCATACGTCATTCTGTGACGACAAAGCCTTGATTGGTGAGAACAGTAGCTTTGGTCTGGGTCAAATTTGGTCTAGAGGGAGGAAGTCTTAACCGGCTAGCTTAGGTTGATAGAAGACATTCGATATCAGGAGGATTTTGCTTGTTAATCACATTAATACCAATATTTTGTATTATAGTGTATATAGTATCAATGTTCAAGATATCAAACCTCAACAATCACAATTGGATCTCAAGTGGGATACTGCAATTATGAATCCAATATACATAATGTTGACAACATTTACAGAGTTTTCTGTCTTGTTCGCTCAAAGATTCACACATTCACACATTCAGTATATTCTTCTACTTGTATCTTTCTCTCTCCCAGATTCTTATATAAAGCCTCCTTCTTCCCGACTTCCTCCTCTTCTTCATGCAACAGATACCAGACATCGAACGAACTCTATACCAATATTTCCAGATACAGACTAACAAATAAACAAGACACCGACTATCAGTTGCCATGTCTTCCAGAGACATTTACGACAAAGCAACAGTCTATAATCCTGTGGACACTCGCACCAAACCTCCTCAAAGTAGCAATACTTCCAGCAAGCTTTCTTCCTCTCACTCCAAAGTTCCTTCCTCCAATCGACCATCTTCTTCCGCTGTCCCAAAAGCATACACCACACTCGAAAGAGACAATAAATCGACAAATAAAGGTTTGTCTCAACAGCACACTTTACTTCAAAGAGATGGACAGGCTTCTTCTTCCCGTGGACACACTTCAGGTTCTCATAATCATACTCAGCTCAACAGAGACCAACAATCATCACCAAGCTCAAGACAGCCAAGCATGATGCGCGCAGCAACAACTGCTCCTCCAGATGCGAAGAGCATGTTTAAGTCTCAGCATGATATTAATATGGCCTCTCAACAAGTCAGATACCAGGAGATGAATTATGAAGAGAAGAAGAAACAGGACGAATGGGTCCGCAACTTCATTGTCTATGCCGGACCATGCCCTGCTGGGTTCAGCTGGGAGCGAGTCAAACAAGGATATGTCTGTAATGGCGGGAATCATTTGTGCACCGATGACCTTCTTGCTGAAGGTAAAGGCGGCTTTTACATGGGAACTCTCGATGCTGGATGGTGGGGCCCGATCTATGACGCAGGCAATCGTTTACGACTAGATTATGCAAAGACTATAGTCCAAGAGTACGCCAAGAAACACGGATTGGACCCAACAGTCGCTCCCGTAATCCCGCCACCTAATATACCAGCGAGTCATGAAGTTCACCCAGGAATTGCAAAAGCACTAGCAGGTCAGGGACGCATGCCAAATATTTCCTCAGTTGAAAGTGTTCTTTATAGTTTCGAGCGGGTAGGTGACGTTGAGAGACTTATGGCAATGGTAAACAACGCTTGGCCCTCTTATCATGTTTCTGGAACATCAAGTCACCATACGTCAAATGGCCATCACTCATCCAGTGGCCATCACTCATCCAGTGGCCATCACTCATCCAGTGGCCATCTCTCATCCAGTGGCCATCTCTCAACCAGTGGCCGTCACACATCCAGCGGATATCACTCATCCGGAGTAACACCTCAGCTCAGCACCCTCTATGGACCAGGAGGTCTACCAAATCGACTTGCAATGAGCACGAGCAATGGTTCTCTATCCCAAGGAGGTCAACTCCCACTCGGATATCTACCAGCTGCTTATCGCAATGATCCATATGGACAGGGACCACTAGGCCGCCGCAGATATTAAGTCTGAGAAAGTAGAGGAACGACTTTGTGTACTACGCTATACTACGTTCTGGGGGATACTAGATGAAACCGGCGACGACGACGATGATGGTAATAATGCGTGACTTTGGATAAAGATATAGATATTAGATAGTGCAATGCGAGACGTTATATTAAGACAGTGGAGAATTTGAATATGCATGTGAAATAATACAACTGAGAATTCTCTTAAAGAAAAATAACACTCATTTCCCAGCTTCCATCGCATTCACATAGCACTACTTATTATTCACTTCTAATTCCAACACCTTGAACGGAACTCCCTTCCCAGATCCTTAAAGACTGCCCGCGTGATCGCGGCAGTATCTCCATTTTCCAATCATCTTCAAAGTATCGATGTCAACGCTGGCAATTTGATTACAGTCGCGTGCATCAGTTAACCTGATGATTCAGATTTAGGGGGCTCTTTATAATCGAGCGGGGGGAGGGGAGGGGGGGGAGTGTGATAACTTTAGTATTTGAGTGAAAAGTAAATGTGAGAATGTGAGAATGTGAGAATGTGAGAATGTGAGAATGTGAGAATGTGAGAATGTGAGAATGTGAGAATGTGAGAATGTGATTTGACTTTGGTGTATGAAACAAATAGCATATATACCTGCGGTTTTGAATTGTCTTATGGAGACGAGTTAATGACGAAGGGGGGCAAGAGCGAAGACAAGAAGGACAATGTAATGGCATTCTATTCCGAGTACAAAAACAATCAATCATTCCACCAGATTCGATGAGCAAGCCAGATCAATTGAAATTGTTTAGAGAAGGTCCTTTGATCTTCAGAAGACAAAGTATCAAGATTTGAAAAGAGAGCTCAAGCGCGCTGTGCGTAGCGCTTCGTGCAGAAGTGTTACCTGTGGCTGTTAATCACACACAAGTACTTACATCAAATCACAGCTCCAAGTATGTCTAAAAAATGCAATAAGATCCGACGACATAAAGGTTGGGATCCGTGTAATCCGCGAAAGCTTAGTTGCCTTCGAGAAAGCGGCCTACAAACATGTGATGGTTGTGCAAAAGTTCAGGCTCAATGGGTATAAAGCTGTTCAGGCAATTGCCGATTTTTCAACAGCAAAATGTGACGCACTATGCCACTTCAAGAGTCCCAACAGCTGAGCCCTGTAGCGATATATTCTATACGAGTAATATCAGGGCCTCAAGGTTGGCAATGATAGAAATAAAGCTTATAACCAGACAGTGGTGTGGAAATCCTGGTTGATGCGAAATATCCGCCAACGACTTCGAAAACGTTTCTCAGCCCTATCATGATCAAGAAGACCATGAAACTACCAACACGAGAACACCTCTGGAACTATAGATGATAAAGGATTTGAAAATTGTGTTGGCTGCAAACAAATCCACTTTGATCCGCCAGAATACAGCAATACTCCATGTTTTAGTTGAACTCACATGGTCATTCGGAAGATTAGGTTGATTTGACACTAGACGTTACAATATCCCATCGACGGTAGCCAGTGAGTACAGCTTTAGTGGGCAAGAAATCGATGCACTTATTCAACTGCGAAGCTGTGATCTAGACCTCACGCCCCTTGAGAATGACTCAAGTTGTCTGCACATTGTTGACGAAGATGCTTCTGATAATCATACTAGAGTGATTGGGGATGCAAAAGATCACTTTATCCGCCAGTTGTCGAGAACGGGTGTAGATCGGTATGAGCATGGTAGAAAGTAGCCCCTCGATTTATTCACGGCAATAGTGATCTCGGGATACGCTTTTGGGCAAGTCTGCTTCTTACATTAGCTTTTCGATCTACAATACCCCGCCTGCTGTCTGACGCGATCTCTGGTGGATACTACACACCTCAGCTTGATCACTGACTCAGGAAAACTTGATATCGAAATGTACGGCGAGTCCCGACTATCGATTTGATCAAGTACATCTTCATGAATCAAGGATTTGATCACCCATCAGATTTTTCCTCCTGGTCTCCTGCCATATGCGTGCCATGTATATCTATGATAAGATCTTCAAGCACATGTATGCATGTGTTGCCAGAAGAGGCAAACCGCCTAATCCCAAACAAGCAGCTTTAACAACATCCGCGCTTGGGATTGGGACTTATGTACCTGCCCAATCTGCCGCAATTTCATGCCAACCACTATTACTGGTAGATCCAGGAAGTCTACTGCCGGAGTGTGTTACCAAACTTTGGAAGAACAAGAACATTGTTTCTGCTCATGATAATTATGAACACAACGAGTACCGGAGTTCCTAGTACGATTTATAAGCATTTCTTGATGATGGTGGAAATGATCAAAACGAGACCTGGCTGTGGACATGAGGAATATCAAGGTGATACTGGATAACAGGGACCTTTAATGCTATACTGTAAGCAGGATCTTAGACAACAGAGAAAGGAAGTCAAAGTGCATGCCATCTACCCTCACATTGAAACTCCGAAATCGTACTGGTTATATCGAATCTTGCGTGCTCCTTCCTATGTCGTCGTTCTTGTCGCCTATCTATTTGGGTCTCAGGTCCTGAACATGGAATTTGGGTATGAAAAATTTGGTTGAGAATTCGCTTTTTCGACTTCGTAAATCAAGTAAATACCATAAAACAATCTTCGCCTTGGGGCTGATAATCGTGATAATCGGCGGATGGTCAGCGGAGGGTCAACGGAGATTGACATTTATCTCCGTTCAAATAAGGTTACCTCAATTTGATAGGTTGAAAATCATTTAGTCGTTCTTGATTCTCATCACGTGAAACCCCGCTGTCGTCCGCCTGCCACTCAATCAGTCAGCCAATTATTCTGTTCTCTATTTTCCGTTTTGTATCTCCCCTTTGAAGATTGCCTGGCATATCAGTGATACATCATTAGTGACAGGCTAATGCTCAAGTATTATGGCCGATCTTGTACCCGCAACTGCTTCAGAATTGCCAGACACTGTATCACAATCTTCCCCCCCCAAAGACGATGCAGAGGATAATTCACGGGAAAAGAAGGTTGTACCCAAAGCAAGTCGGCAAAGATTCAAGCCACAATTGTCATGCACCTTTTGTAGAACTCGAAAGTATGCGAATAAAATCTGATCTACTCCTTATTGACCTTACTCTGACCCAACCAGATTAAAATGCGACCGCAATTCCCCTTGCAATAATTGCTCCAAGAGAGAATTATCTTCATCATGCACATATATCCACAATTCACGTGCGAAGATATCTCATGCCCAGAGGACCAGAGAGAAACCAAAAGATGTTCAAGACCGAATCCAACATCTAGAGGAGCTAGTCGTGACTTTGATGAATCAAGCCAAAGATACAACAGTGCCGTCGAAACCAACCATCTCACCTGGCTTTCGGAGCTCTACCGTTAAGCCCCGAGAACTTTCATGGCCAGATGATGCTACGATATCTGAAAGTGCGGATTCCATCGGACGTATATCTGTCGAAGATGAGGTGCAGAATTATGTTGGCGGGGCCCATTGGGCGGCAATACTCGAGAATGTATGTATCCTTCTTCGTATAAGTCCATAAGTATCTGACAGTTCCGTAGATAGCCGGCTTGAAAGACTCATTGGGATCTGAGGAATGGCCACAGGGTACAGCTAGTGGAAATAATACTTATGAAGGGCCTAAGCTACTTCTTGGAGACAATAGAAAGTCCTCGAGGGAATCTATTCTTGCTTGTCTCCCGTCGAAACCTCTTGTCGATAACTTGGTTGATCGCTACTTCACTGCGATTGACGCTTCCTGTAAAATAACATATTCTGTGGAGATGGGATTGAACGCTAACGAGCATATAGTTATCACTCATGTGCCGACTTTCAAAAAGGAGGTGAGAACTTTCCTTAATATAGAAACCGGCTCATTCGTTAACTCTTTTGTAGTACGCCGAGTTTTGGGATAATCCCAACTCAAAATCTATTTCCTGGATTGGATTACTATTTTCCATAATATGCCTCGCCGCGAACTTTGAATTAAGAACAGGAGATTTCCCAATCTCAGCACTATCAGACTCGGCTGTACGGGACACAGAACAGCGGACCAGGTTATATCGTGAGAAAACTGTACAGTGTCTCATAAGTAGTAACTGCACGGAACCAGGACTGTATACTGTCGACACTCTTTTACTGTATTATCTCAGTGAGTATTGCGAAAGCAAGGATACACTATTTGGGTCTTGGATGGTTTTTGGGATGGTTGTCCGCGCAGCAATGAGAATGGGTATGCATCGAGATGCCTCTCATTACCCCAATATATCAGTTTTCCGTGGTGAGATGCAACGTCGACTATGGGGTGCAATATTACTTGTTGATATTCAGACTTCATGTCAAGTTGGACTTCCTCGAATGATAAGCGAAGGGACGTATGATACAAAGCCCCCCAATCACCTCCTAGACGAAGATCTTCATGAAAATATGGTTGCATTACCGCCCATTAGATTGGAGTATGAATCATCACCTATAAGCCACGCACTCTCTAAATATCGCCTTCTTTTGGTATTTGGTAAAATATTTGACGCGTCAAATCTTGTTACTCCTTTTTCTAATGATGAAGTCATGAGACTTGAAAAATTGCTCTTTGACGCTCTTGGAGAGGTCCCGGATTTTTTTCGAGTCAGATCCATCCACGATCTCGAAAGCGGTTCTCTTATGTTCAGAGTAAGGAAGTTCTCAATTGAAATGACTTATCTTAAAGCACGTTGTTTTCTTCATCGTAAATTTCTCTCGGAAGCCGAATCATTGCAGAAGCACTCTTACTCTGTCAAAGCGTGCGTCGATTCTTCAATGCTGATTCTACAATATCAAAATTACATGAACAACGAGACAGCTCAGGGTTCTCCGTTACACGGAATGAAATGGATTACATCTTCTTTAATGACTTACGATTTCCTCTTAGCTGCAACACTTCTTTGTCTCTATCTTGGGCAGTTGATGGCTGCCGAAGAAAAATCTATGGATATCGACCTTCAGGATTTTCCAATCGACTGGACTATAAAAGATATTTCGCACGCTTTATCCAAGTCTTACCAAATATGGGACAATCCCGAGATCGCATCGGAAGATACCATGAAATTTTCGAAGGTAATAAAGGCCATGGTAAACAAAGTTGATCATTGGTCTACCGTAAATAAAACCCAAAGAGAGGTTGCAAAGGAGATGACGAATGAATCTAACCCTAATGCCTTACCCCCTAAGCATCACGACCTTCTTTCCACTTCCATTCCGCACCAAGGCTATCCCCTAAATTATTCTACTCCACACATGTATTCCTTACAATCGAACAACTTCGAGGAGAGTCCAAGTGACTCTACTACACCAAATATCGGTATGATAGGAGACATTTTGAATGATCCGACCGGTCTCGATTGGGTAAGTGATTATTTATTTCTCACCGAATACATACTGATCAATAAACGCAGAGTCTTTGGGATAGCAATTTTCAAGGGAACAGCAATTACATTAATCCAGGGGCTTCATTATATTCATCCGATCCGTACTTTCCTTTTCAGGAAGCTGGATTTGAGTCCAATTTGGACGGCAGTTGATGATCACTAATTAACTCCCAAGATTGGTTGATTACCAATGCATGGCTTGTCCAAAGCTTATTTATAGGTCGCAGCCAGAAAATAGGCTTCCCAAGAAAGCTTAAAGGTTTCCAATGCAACGTGAGCGGGGAATTTTATTATTGGTTGGATGCCTCTGTGTGGCATTCGCTTATTGCATAGTCTGGGCAAGAGAACGAATAATTGAAAGACTGGTAAGTTAAATTCTACCGGTTCCCACACCACCATTCTAAAAAGTTTTTAACAGACTGTACCTCAACGACTTCCGGAGCGATGATGTATGACAAGTGCGATTAGTTGTCACACGAATCGCTAAGTACTGAAGCGGCAGGTAGATGACCGGTTGATTGTTGAAGACTGCTCGAAATAGTCAGGTGGTCTTTCGCGATAGTACCTCTAGAATTAAGAAGGTCTGAACTGCTGATAACGGACTTGATGCAGATCCTCCAGAGCTCATCGTCTCCTTCAAGTGACTGGAGACCTATCAAATGGCTTGTTGTGCAACATTGACGCAATGCGATGTTGGTTATGCCCAAAGTTTTCAGAATTTTCACATGGTACAACTCTATATTTAAGCATATTCATGGGTTCTAGATGTAGTTTCGATTTACATGGTTGAAAACGTGGGGAGAACTAGTCATTTTATCTTGCCTTGCCCCGCATCAAACGCGTGTCCATCGTGATAGGAAAGAAATTGTACCTCATTTTTCCAAAACATACCGAATCTTGCCAATCTATCACCGATCTATGACCGAGAACCAGGTCAAACCTCACTGAAGTGATGCCGTCGTTGTGTGGAAAACATTGCCAAGAAACTGCCAGCCCTCCTTGAATGTGTATCTTGACCTGAATGGTGCTCCACCCCGTATCACCAGCGTCGGATCGGTGAAATGACGATACACGAGGGAGAATCAAGGGAATCTGGATTAGAAGCAGGTGTGCTTGCTAGAGAGATAAAAAGGTATGTGCCCGGATCGTTTTCACAGCTTGATTTGAAGTAGACACAATTTACTCCTCAAAACAATACTTTCAGCTTTCATAGCCAAAATCTCTCAGACATGCATTTCGCCAATCGCCACGCGATTCTGCTGATCACTTTCTTTCTCAAACAGAGCATTCTGGCAGCACCAACTGGAGATCCTCTTCTTGGTTACAACCCTTCGAACGTTGTCATCAATCAAGACACCGACAATGTCGACTATGAACTTGCACCAGGCCAAACAGATCCAGCAACTGTAGGCGCCTCTTTGGAATTCAGCACAATCGCGAACCCTCAACCCATCCGAGGCTCCAAAGGTGGCACTGACCCGGGTCCAAGAACTTCACCATACGATATCCTTAACCCCGATAAACTTGCACCTCCAGGCACCGACCATGGAAGTGTGAGCAATGCACAATGGCCTATGGGGCTCAGCCATGCTAAGCTAGGACTCGACCACGGAGGATGGTCGAGACAGCAAAACGTTGACAATATACCTGTTGCCACGGAGATGGCAGGTGTAGATATGCGTTTGGAAGAGGGCGCTTACCGTGAATTACATTGGCATAAGGCGGCAGAGTGGGCTTACATCTTCAATGGGAGTGTGAGACTTCAAGCTGTTAATGATGAAGGCCAGACTTTTGTCGATGATTTGAGTGCGGGTGATGTTTGGTATTTCCCTCCGTAAGTGATCCAAGCCACCGTGTGTTCTATCTCATGCTATGCTCGCTTGAGGTGGGGTGTTACTTGGCGTGATATTTCAGCTTACAATTTTACTGACGAACACTATCTCAGAGGCGTGCCACACTCTCTGCAAGGATTGAAGGGAGGAGTAGAGTTTCTCTTGGTGTTTGATGACGGAAGCTTCTCTGAAGATAATACCTTCTTGGCTTCAGAAGTCTTTGCACATAACCCAGTATGACAAGCCCCATAGTACCTATGATATCAAGAGCTAACACCATCAAGATTGAAGTCCTTTCCAAGAATTTCCAACTCCCCAAATCTGCCTGGTCCGATATCCCTTCTGGAGAACTCTTCATTTTCCCCGGCACAAAGGCTCCCACCGATATAGCCGAACAGAACATCACCGGGTCGGCTGGTCTCGTGCCTAAAGAATTCTCCTACTCCTACCACCTCTCCAAAGCACCTCTGACGCACGATACTCCCGGTGGAACCATCAAGATACTCGATCCAAAATCCTTTCCTCTCGCAGCTCAATTTTCTGCCGCAGTCGTAACTCTGCACCCTGGAGCTATGCGCGAGATCCACTGGCACACCACGAGCGATGAATGGAACTTTTTCATATCTGGCAGTGCGAGAATCAGTATATATGCAGCCCAGGGGCTAGCAAGAACGTTCGATTATCGTGCGGGTGATTGTGGATATATTCCCAAAGGAATGACGCATTATGTTGAGAATACTGGTAATAATGATGTGATATTCATTGAAGTTTTGCAGGCGGATCATTTCTCGGGTGAGTTCTGTTTGTTGCTTGTTGTTAAGAATTGATGGGATGCTAATGTGTGATAGATATTTCGGTCGGCCAATGGGTTGGTTTGACTCCCAAGCAGATTGTAGCTGATACGCTCAATTTATCCAACGAGACCGTGTCGGCTTTTAAGAAGGAGAAGCAGTATATCGTGACAGGTGATATCCCGGAGTAAATCGGCTCATAGACTTCTCCGTTTAAAACATGTCTTTCGTTTTTCTGTTTCCTTCATTCAGGTCTCCTTTCGCTCACTGTTAATTGCTTTTCATTGAATATACGTCTTCATGTATTATCGTAAAGAGGAGGTATTTTCAGTTCTCCTGCCACTGAAGGCACATGCAACCATTAAGATAGCTTTTCAACAATTCTATGATTTTATCTCTAGCATGTTGAGTGAATACGAAGAAAATATGATTTTTTTGTGAGAAGAGATGTAATTATAGAAAAGTAGATTTTCCAACGGAGATAGTAATGTAACTAACTATACATGACCTTCCTTAGCTGTAAGAAAGATTGTAATACCTGGCTTTTCTTGGCAGTTAGCTATGAGATCATCTGGTTGCCGAGTGGGGGTATGCACTGTGTAAACATGATGGATGAATTTTAGTATCCCTTTACAGTAGTCCGTAAAGAATGAAGAGTGTATACTAATCATGAATTACTTAAGTCTGCAGTGTACAACATGGATCGACCATTGGATTACACGAGTTGTGCTTGTTTAAAGATGCCCCATTTGATGACTGGAATAATAGTGACCATCATTACCTTGATTAGGCACGCTGATATTCTATCAAAGTGGCCCTGTTACCCAGAGCTCTCAAGCAAGCGTTGCGAAACGAAGTGTATTGCAATAGAAAATTGTGTTGAGCAACTTTGTATGTGAGCTTACCATGTAAAAAGTATTGAAATTCAAACCCATATTTTTTCACGACAGCGACCTCCAAAAGAATGATCATCCAGACCTACTTGTCTTCCCAGAATTTCTTCTCCGCATTTTCCTTTTCCTTTTTTTTCTTATCCGCCTCTTCCAAGAGATCTTTAACCTTCTCATCACTCTTCCTGAATTCTGCTTGTTGTTCAAATCGCTCCAGATCAGCGTCCATCTACCTCTTTATATTCTCCTCAACTTCCGTCTTATATTCGCCTCCATCTTATCAATATCCTCCTGTGTCCATTACTCCGCCCGTGCCTTTGCTATTTCCCTTCTCGACTCTTGCTGAGTATTCAATTGTTCCGCCTGAAGATTCGTAATTGTTTCCATTCGCTTTTTGACTCTTAAAGATGTCAATTTTCCGTCTCGAAGCGCGGCATCTTCGTCCTGTACAGTGAGAAGTTGATCTACAATCGCGCCCATAAATTCTTCATACGCAGCATCGCCTTTGAACACTTGGACGGCATAAACTTCGACGACATTCCGTACAAGCTCCACTTCTATTTGTTCGTCTAATTGAAAAGCCATGCCGTATTTCTTTTTGCCTTTCAACTTTGCATCAGACTTATTGCTATTTTCCATCAATTCGAGAATCTGCTGCTGGGAGATCTCAAGAATCTTTCCTTTCTCGAAGATTTCTTCGCCAATCTGCGTATTGGAAATTGGTTTCAACTTGATAGTAAAAGAAATTTGTATCTCCTGAACACTAGGCATTATCAGACCATACCCCATACTATTGCCGATTTTTGCAGAATACTTTTTCGATATCTGCTGCATAGTCACTCATCATGACTATCCGTCTAGGCAGTGTGCGATATCCAGCTGACTCCCTTGGTTGTCCAGGCATGACACCCAGTAGCACAACATCACAAGGCATCATTTAAATATAAGCCTTTATAAATCTCACACTTGGAACGAACACGCTCTAAGCTGAAATCTTGAAACTAAAGGTCTATACCACTGAAAATCAAATATTGAGCCCCATTTTCATCTTCATTAAACTCGTGTGGAATACTGTCCGATCCTTCCCATTTAAGATAACTCATCGTCTTGATCATCGATACTTTTGGCTCTGTAGTAAATTCTGAGGTTGTCGTTGGATCTACTGATCTTACATGCTACCTGTGATTCGGATATCTCTTCTTCAATCCCAAAGAATGTTGTCGGACTCTATAATGGGTCCACCATTAGTGTCCTGGACCATCTAGTCTATAAGTAATAAATGTCAGCAATAAGTTTTTCGACATTCTTGCATGAATTTGGGACAGCCAGGGAGTTGGTTTTACTCTAACAAAAGAGCAGAATGCAAGATATCTGATAAACTAATAAGAGGCACATATTCCACTGCAGTATGGAAACTCGGAGCTCCTTATTTTGACCCTAAACATGCAAAATTTCCTAAAGTGGACGGTCTCGCTTTCCTAAGGACCATGGCGCGAAATGGGTGAAAACACGGGGATTGATTCGAAGACTGAGAACTCTCTCGTGAGTTCGTAATTATGCATAATTTTAACTCGAACCCGCCTAAGATCTCCAATGATAATGTGAGCGAAGCTAAATCAGCGACCAAGCTGGGGAACAACTACGCAAGATATCAGGTGTATATAAGGAAGAGAAGATATCACGATATTCTAGGAAACTAATGATATACATAGGTATGCTATTCATATAAGCGAAGTAAAATCAGAGAAAGAAGAAGAAGCGCATTGCAATCATTCATGAAAAATAACCCACCAGGCCTAGCCCAAAAAGAAAAAAAGATTTAACTTCCAGTTATCATCATACATAGAACATAATTTTCCGAGTCAATAATTCCAGCTTGTTTCCAGCCTGAATGCCTACCGTACTCGTCAGACCAGACCAGGGTCTAACCTTTTTATGCTCACCCGCTTCATCTTGGCTCTAATCGCTGAAAACCCAGGAAATTTTTATCAACGGTTCCTATTTGAACTCGCCATCTCTCCGTACCTTCCTCTCTCCTTCGTCGTATCGTATGCTTGTAGCACTCTGGTTTGCGATTCGTCCGCCTGAGAGAAGGCATAACCACGCTGTTTACGCATACGCTGAACTTGACGAACCTTGCGAATGGCTTTCTGAAATTGCTCCATTCTGTAATGATTGGTTAGAAAATTGCCTTATAAGAACGGAATCGGAACGGGAACGTACCTTGGTCTATAATCTTGAATGTTGTATTTCTGGATCTCTTGGATATGGTGGTAGGATTGTGGATAATACATCCGTTTAGCGCTATGAGCATAGATTAGCATCTCCTAAAAATAATAACACAGATCACCTTACTATTTCCATGAAAAGTCTCTCAGCAAGCATAACATAGGCAATGCCAAACCTTGAATCCAGAAGACAGGACTTCCAAATAATCGCGGTATAACACCCTCGTATTCCATGGAGAAGCCGAGCTTAGGCGCCACCGTAGCATACACAGCGATAAAAATGATCCAGATTAGCATACTGCCAGGTATGGCAATAACGTGATATTTCGTCCAAACATTTACTACTAGAGCTGCTTTTCCAAGAACAGTTGCCAAGACTGCGGTATAGAGTGCTGTACCCCATACCCAATGGCCCGCTGTTTTGCCGTCGCCCTGGGGCAAATCACGCCACCAGATAAGTTCCGAGGCGATGTATAGAATGAGAGAATGATAGAAACCGTTACCAATCCAGGCCCAGAATGAATGTTGTCTGAAAAAGGTATTCTTTTGACCCAGTTGATAAAGTTGCGGATACCTATCGAGAAGTCGAGCAGATATAAATTGATCAAAGATACCCATTGCAAGTGGAGGGAGCACTGTAAAGAAGACGTTGTAAAATGATAGCGTCCAGGATTCGTAGATGACTTCTCCAGAGAAAACGTTTTGGAATGAATACTGTAGACTGTTAATAGTAGATCAACTTAAAGAACTGTGAAAGGCATACCCAGAATTGTGTCATGTATAGCGTGATGTTTTTGTAGAAAGAATAGAGAATAACTTTGCTAACTCGTTGGTAACTCCATGCGCCATGAACTAGGAGAAGTTTACGCAGATATCTGAATTGTCCGATCGCAACATCAGCACTTCTGGCGGCCTGTAGACCTTCCATACCACTGATACCAACACCAATGTGGGCTGCTTGAATCATTGAGACATCATTCGCTCCATCACCAATGGCCAATAGGATAGATTTCTTATTGCGTTTGACGAGCTTGACGACCAAAGCCTTCTGAAGTGGAGATACACGACAGCATATGACAGCTTTACACATAACAGCAAGATCAAGGAAGTCTTTCTCTAAATCCTTTTCAAGAGCATAAGTTAAAGACTTTCCATCAATAACCAAAGCAAGAGTTTCCATAGCAATGGTGCCATCACCTTGTGTTCGTATGGCATCGAGCTTCTTTTGTATATTGTTCCTAGTATCCATTGCTGTTTCCTCATTGACGATGAGAAGAGTCATATCTTCACTGATCAGCTTGCAACTCATTCCAATGTTGATAGCAGTCTCTTGACGATCTCCGGTCAATACCCAGACCTTGATGCCGGCCTCTTGTAGAGTATGGATCGTCTCGGGAACACCATCTTGCAGACGATCTTCAATCGCTGTGGCTCCAAGTAACGTAAAATCCCGCTCCAGAATTTCAGCAGCTTTATCCAATTCGTCAGCACGATTACCACTGACGGTAGTTTGTGCTCTATCAAAGACTGACCACCACTCTTGAAACTCATTTTCAGGAATTTCTCGCATTGCCAGACAAAGTGTTCTTAGACCCTCAGAAGCATATTCTTCCAAATGCTGAAGTGTGACCTCAACATGTGGGTTGTCTGGACCAAGCCGTTCCAAGATAACAGTATCAGCCCCTTTGCAGTAGCATCTGATTTGTCCATCTGGACATCGAAAAATTGCCGACATTCGCTTTCTCGTTGAGTTAAATTCGCAAACCGCAAGAAGCTCATATTCATAAGTCTCCCCCCCTACACTTATCTGTACAGATCTTGGCTTGCGTGCAGTAAACTGGTAACCCATCAAAACAGCACCTTCGACCAGAGCGCCTTCGTCGGGAGATGCTGCTTGGTATTTGATAGCTCCGCCCTTCTCATCAGATCGTTCAGGGATAACGGTATGGCAAGTAGATAAAAGGGCAAGAAAGTGATGAATAGCTAAAGCCGACTCAGGCGTTTTGAGATTCTCCTTAAGTCGATGAAAGTCATGAACCCCGACCTCCTGACCGTCGATATTGGTGGCTCGGCGATCTTCTGGCACATCCTCTGCGTATTGAATCCCACCGATAGAGCATTGCTTGAATTCCATTTGATTACATGTTAATGTTCCAGTTTTGTCTGAGAAAATGTATTCTACCATACCAAGTTCTTCGACTAAACTCGATGTTCGACAGACAGCTGGGGTATCAGTCTTGTCATGATACATGTCGAGATCGTCATTGATCAATATTGCATGCCAGTATTTGACCATTTCAACAGTGACGAAAAGAGAAATTGGAACCAGAGCAGAATACAGAACCCAATAAGTGGCTATATCAGAAAAAAATTGCGAGACTTTTTTCGCCGAGGTGATTGAAGCAGAATAACCAAGATAGCTTAATTCTGCTCCCTTGACTGATCTAACTATAACATCACCCAATGAACTTATGACGCTCAACGCGATCAAGATAGCTACGAGCATTAGAACCAGAATATTGAGTTGGCGCTCCACGGCAGTTCTCTTTATCGGCGTTGCCGTCGCATTCCGCATAAGCTTGGTTTCGTGACCAGTAAATACAACAACTCCGTGAATCCAGGGAGTGTTACGTAGTGTTGCACCTCTGAGCAAAAGTTGATCTGGTTGCAAAGAAAGCTCCTTCTCTCCACCGCCAGCAGCCACGGTAAGTGTACCCTCATAGGTATATAGACTGCTGTTCGGTTGTTCCGATCGTAGCTTTCCGCCCAATCTACTAAGTTCGTTGGAACTGACCATCACACATGTTTCTGGAATGGCCTGCTTGATTTTGAGATTAGTCTCACCGTCTAGATTGGCAGTCTCAATATAGCATAGTCCCTCCGGTTCCGAACTGGCTAGTAAAATAATATCTGCAGGAAATGACTCTTCGGATTCTACACGAACGATGTCGCCAACTGAAACATTGATCCATTTAGTATCCGCGAATGAAGACCCGCGTAAAACACGAGCCTTTGAATTGTTCAGCGAAGTATCAGATGTTTTTCTCCTGTAGTCCTCAACTACTTCTTTACCGGCAGATACCAAGAGGACCAAGATCAAAGGTCCGATGGTGGTGTATTGGTTCGTTGGGGAAATATCGGGAATCTGTTGCAATGCTGCAGTAAACAAGAAGAATAGATTGGCAAATTTAGAAAACTGCTCGAACAAGAACTTCGGTAGAAAGGTCGCAGCGTTGTACTTGGCTGTAGATATGTGATTATCCACATATTTGCTTGCGCTGTTGGCAGGGGGATTGTTGAGATGTATAATTCTGGGACCAAGAGTTGAAGGATCTGGCTTTCCTCTACCAAATCCAAATTTGAATTTCCCCAGCTTACTTTCAGATTGTACAGGCGTTTCAGGTTCATGTGTATCTGCTCGATTCCTCGCTCCGGCTTCAGTCAATGGTAGATCCATTTCCGAATACTCAGCCCCCATTCCAAACATACTCTTCGCCTTGCCCATGATTCCACCTCCCAAGCTCATTATGCTACTGCGATTTCGACCATGACCCCTCATTT